CCCCTAATTGTTGTCGAGCATCTTCCGTCAGTCTACATTATAAAACAACCCCTAATTGTTGTCGAGCATCTTTCGTCAGTCTACATTATAACTTGAAAATCTAGTATGACTTTTCCGTCTGTGAGACAATGAATATATGTAATTATTAACCAATAGAGGATTTTTACAACTGGGTCAGATCTCATAGGTTTTTCCATTTATAGGTTTTAAACGTAAGAACTTCTTGTGTCATCTCTGGTTGTTTTTATTTCATGTGAGTGTGTGTTGAATTCCCGTGCAACACTAAAACAATATTTCGTTACTCTGCAGTTGCAAATTTTCTAACACGCATCAATTTTTATACTTTTATGAGGCTTATTTTTTGGACTGATTTAATCATGATCGAAATGGTAAATTTATAATTTTAAAAGTGATAACAAATGATATATGTGATATTTAATCTGACCAAATTCATACTAATGTCATCTTTATTGTTTACAGAAAATAAATATCAATTCAACAAATTTTGCAAGCCTTAAACAAAAATTATCCGAATGGAATTTTTTAATTAATAACCATCTCAAACAAACCCAAAGAAAAAAAAATATATATCAATCAAAATATTCTCTAAATGTTGGAATTATAAAAATCGATCTTTTTTATGAATTATATATTGGCCCTACTAAACTATAATAAATTTTCCATAAAAAAAAAAATAATAATAATAATTATAGGTTCTTATTAAACAAAAATTATCCGAATGGAATTTTTTAATTATTAACCATCATCAAAATATTGTCTAAATGTTGGAATTATAAAAATCGATGTTTTTATGAAAGATATATTGGCCCTACTAAACTATAATAATTCTTCCATCGAAATAAATAATAATTATAGGTTCTCTTTTAGTGAACACTCTTTTTTGTTTAATAAAATTGGGGAGAACTTTTTTTCTTTATTGTGAGACAGCTGTTCTTGAAAAGCCTTCTAAGCTTTTATAAGTAGTTAACTAAAATAAGAGGGTTTGATGATGCATCCAGTTATTTTATTATCACTCCTATTAAAATAAGTGCTGCTTTGTTGCTTATGAATCTTTCTAATTTTTTATTCCCCATGCGTTAAAATGCTAAACCTTCAATCAATCAATAACTCATAGAGTTATTTTTAAGGTGAAATACACATTTACATCTATAAATTTATGACACCATAATGTTATAAAATGTAAATATTAAATTTTGAGTGTTAGATATATAAATTCCTGAGGATGGTGTTATAAGTATGTAAAATTCTCATTATCCTATTGGGACTTATAATCAAGGAGACCTGTACTAGAAGATTCACAACCGTAGAGTAAAGATTATTTATCGTTTTAGCACTACACAAGAACCCAACACACACTTAAGTAATTAAAGAAAAGTAAGCAGAATGCGCCATCTCAACTTTTTACGTAGAAAACTCTTAAAGAGAGAAAAAATTATGGGGTCTGGCCCAGTTGAAGAGATCTACTATAAACTAGATATTACAAAAGTTTATTCTTCTCTTAAATTTGAGAAGATGGAATTATAAAGTTGTATAGTCTTAATATGATTGTAGTTCTTGGCGACAATAGATTGCAATGATCATAGTCAATTACCACAGAGGTAGTATTTATTCGTGAGTGTTGTAGACGGTGGTTGTAGCGCCAGCCAGCTTATTGTAAAAGTTGTAGTTGGATAACCATGATAATAACAGAATAGTTGGATCCTAGATGGTATACGTTTTTCAAAGATTGTGCAACTCCTGACTCCAGCCTCTGCGACCCACAGACGTCATTGCGGCTCACCACTATAGTCTATACAACTTATGCAGTACACAACTTTCACAACTCTCTACTACGACCTCTCTGGCCAACTGATGCTCATGAAGTAAGGTTTAACAAAAATCCTAGACCTAACCCAACCCAAGTCAAACCCAAACCCCAACCTAAACCCTAAACCAAATTCAGGTCCGACCCAACACAGAAATGACCTAAAACCTAAACTTAATCTAGGTCTAACTCAACCAATACCTGACCCAACACAGAAATGACCTAAACTCAAAACCTAATCCAGCTCTGACCCAACGTAGACCTAGCCCAAATCCTAAACCTAACTCAGATTTGACCCAACCCAGACCTGATCAAAACTCTAATTCCAACTCAGGTTTGACCCAACCCAAACCACTTTTAAAGCCTAAACCTAACCCTAGTCCAACCTAATCCAGACCTAACCCAAAACCTAAATGAAGCATAAGCCAACCCTGGTGAAACCCAAACCAAAACTAAGTCAATTCGTGTCAACTCAGCTTAACCCGGGGCAAACTAGCTATTAAACCTAAGCCAACCAGGGTGAAACCCGAGCAAACCGATGTCAACCCAAGCCAATTCGTGCCAACTTAAACCAAACCCAGCTTAACCCGAGTTAGCTTATAGCTAGCTTAGGCCCAAACTGGCTTTCTCGTAACACACCTTGGCTCAATCCCAAGCTAACTTAAGCTAAAAAACTAGCATACTCCAGCTCATCCCTAGCCCAAGTCTAATCCAAGACTAAATGTTACTTTATTTGTTTTATCTCACATGTCTTTTCATGTTTTGTTTCTTTCAAGTGTTGTTTCATTTTCAAAAACAAAAAAAAAAAAAACCTGTCTTTTCATGTTTTGTTTCTTTCAAGTGTTGTTTTATTTTCAAAAACAAAAAAAAAAACTTATATAAAATACAAAAGAAAGAATAAGAACTTCTCAGATTTCTCCGCAAACATAAAAAATCAAAATTCAAAACATAGAAAACCTTGATTCTCAATATTACTAACAAACCTAGGACAAACCTAGGAGCCAAACAACAAGACATGAATTAAAACATTGAACTTCAAATAAATATTTAAAACACACCAAGATAAAGAACACAAACCAAATCTAGGTAGATTTGGATTGAACTCTAGGTTAGCTAATTTAGAAATCAAGTCAAGGGCCATCCACTTACCCAAGGTTAGTCTTAGTATAATAGCCCAAATTAGTTCAGACACCTAATTACTAATAAGGACTAGGACATGGAAAACAATAAACCTACACCCTGAGACTACAGAAAATACCTTAGAATGAAGTAACCCATGATTATCGATGAAGGTATTTCAGACTACTTGAAACTAAGAATCTTATATGCTCTGGCATTTCAAGGGAATTCCTAGTTACATGGCTAGTCATAGTCGATGAATACAAATGTTTCCGGGATGATGGAAAGCCATTGACATCTTGACCGAGGACGTTATTTCCAAAATCTAGGTTAGTGCGCCCATAGAATTCTCTATAGAGTTTAAGGTTCCATTATCAAAATAGAAATCTTTTCCGACCTGACTCTATTCTTAGCTTAGGGTTTCTAATCACTCATGCCAGACAAATCTCGTATCCTTAATCTATCTTTTGACTTCACCCAATCAATTTAAATTCATCAAATCTTTTCAAATATTTATTATGTCTCGGGTCCTTCCCACCGCATCTTTTTGAACATATTTCTTCTAATTTGGACCCTCCAATTATGAAACCCCGATCTTTGACAATTCGGCTTATCATATTAATTGAGAGATTTTCTTTAGGGCTTATAATTTGAAAGATATAATTAACTATGAGGGGTTGCTTTTGTAGGAACGAGACCTTAGAATCAAAATAAATATTATCATACACCGATAAGGAAAGAGAATAATTCTGATTTCGTGGACCCAAAGATTCCTCTTATTTAAATGAATGAATTCATTCAAAGGTAATTTCACTATCTCTCGAGACAGTGTATTATTCTTCGAATGTCGTATTCCATCATTTAAAGAGGAATTTTTTGAGATCTATGGTGGTCCCAAATAAAAAAATAATCACCGCCAAGGATTTTTTCTTGTGACTCTGCTAGGAAATCATTCTCTTCTCCATCTTGTATGATAAGTGGTTTATTCTTCTATCGGATTCCTTATCAATCCATCAAATTGATATGAAACTCCATGTCCTCTCCAGTGTCATTAATCCTCGAGTCTTCGCCTGCTCATTTAAACCCTGTTTAATACGTAGGTTTTTCGATATTCTCTGTTGGACCTCCTTACTTGTGATTCCGAGCCTTAATATAGTTTAGAGCCTTTTGATTTCACTATTCAAGTTCGACACAAATCGTTTACTAATTTCTGCTCAAAATAAATCTTTCAATACGAAACTCTTTGAAAATAAAGTTTGAAAGAAAGTTCAAAATTTCTAACAAAAATTGAAAAACTGACAAAGTTTCATCATCCGACGCGCATCAGTCATAGTATACTATTCTTATTAAATATTATCACTTTGTAACTCGACTTGAGGGTGAGATCATCTCGAACTCTAAAAATAAAGATGATCTTTCGCTCTTAGAAAGGGCCCTCAGGAAATTCAGCTTCCTTGAGCCTAAATTTTAAAGCAAAATATAAAGTATGTTATTGAATAATAGTTATGATTTCTTATAAGCGGACAAGTGGATATTGAAATAATAGAAACAAATTGAACCATATAAAATATCTGAAATAAATACAAATTTAAAGAGATATATATCTTCTTAGAAATGAGAGAGACACAAAACTATCACAATAATGATGGGAGAAAAGAAACAAAAGAGTTTGCGATAATCATGCAATGATTAATCTGGTTATATTCAAGCCATATTTTATATGTTATTATGAAGAAATACAGAAAAATCGTAAATTTCCATTAATTTATAGCTGCAAGAATATATCAAGGCAAGTATTACATACACAGAAGGAAGCAAAATTTCTATCACATTCACGCATCTTTTTAAAACTTAAGCACTGCCAATGAAAAAATTATTGGTATGGGTATCGATCCGATTCACACTTGAGAGCATTAATTGCTTCCCCACTTACGCTAACTTTTTTCATTAAAAATTAATCTTTTATCAACAAATCCTCATATTTCTTCTTGTTTAAAAAGAGGAACTTCTCTTTTTTTAATTCAATTAATTTCGCTTCCAGAAGGCAGCTGCTGTACTATTTAAACCCCCGACCTCTTCCCTTCTTCCTCCCCGCTTCCGCTTCCGCTTCCTCTCCTCCTCTATTCAGAAGAAAAAAAGACAAAAAAGCTTTTCGCTTTCTTCTTTTTCTTCTTAGGCGATATTCTTCGCTGATAATCTCTGCATTGCTGATATAAAATTTCTTATTTTCACTGGTAGGTTCTTTTCTAGATTAAAAATCCCACTTTTACTCAAAGTTTTGCAGCTTCTTGCATCTTCTTTGGTTGGATTTTGGGATTTCTCTCCTTTCAGTTTGGGATAAAAAAAAATCCATCTTCGAACGTTGCTATTAATTCATCTAAAGCTAAAAGGCTTGAATTTGGACAAGAAAAACGGAGTATTTATGATTTATAAAAACGACAAAGTTTGCTCATTTTTGTTGAAATAATGTTCAGAAAAATAAAAAAACCCAGCTTTTCTAGCTGAAAAAGGTGAACTGTTTTTTTTTTTTTATAGGGAGTCCTATATTGACTAAAATGGAGTATGAACATCGATTCCGCCAGACTAAATACGACTGTCTTCTATTTGGTAATTCTTCAACTCTGAAATGCTATTCTTCATAGCTCCCATAAAATGGGATGGTTGACTTCTTGCTTAAACTTTGACCAAATTAGATCTGGATGATACTCTGTATCCCTTGAACTCTGGACTCGCAGCTCAATGCAGGAAAAATATTGGAGGTATTTTTATTTTATATATATATTTCACTTCATTTGTTTAAGCTGTTTGAATTTCTTCAACTTAAAAAATCTTCACCTTTCCATGCTTTGCTCTTCAGATTACATGGTGGAGAAGCTTGGAATTGAGGAGAGCAAAATTAATGATATGTGCAATCTTCTCTACAAGAACTATGGCACCACCATGGCTGGTCTTAGGGCAAGTTTATTTCTTATTATTATTTATTTATTTACTGTTTGCTATAAATATTTACCGTTAATATCTCTTTTTGCTCATCTATATTTGAATTTAATTACAGGCAATCGGCTATAAAATAAACTACGATGACTACCATAGGTTTGTAAGAGCTCATCTCATTTGCTTAAACTCCTCTATTCATTTAAGGACTTTGAGAATTAAAATTTTATTCTGATTCCAAACAGCTTCGTTCATGGAAGATTGCCTTACGAGAACCTGAAACCTGATCCTGTTCTTAGACAGATTCTGCTAAGCATCCCAATTCGCAAAGTTGTATGTTTTTTCTATTTCTGTATTATTATTATTATTTTGTATTAATCTACTCAAACAATTTATTTATTCTTACAATATTTTCATTACTTGCTGTTACAGATATTCACAAATGCTGATAAAATCCATACTGTTAAAGTTCTAAGAAAATTGGGATTGGAAGACTGTTTTGAGGGAATTATATGTTTTGAAACTCTGAATAAAAATGAAGAGATAAACTATTCATTAGAAGAAGTAAGAGAAAACAATAAATCTAATATTTTCGATATCCTCGATCATTTCTCAAGATCACAGCCATCTACTGAAATACCAACGTCTCCTGTCATCTGCAAACCATCTGAATCCGCCATGATTCTCGCTCTTTCCATTGCCAAAATTAATCCACAGAGAACTGTAAGTATATATGTATATATTTTATATGCATACCTATTGATTATGTATATATGTATATATATTCTTATGATGAAAATTCAAAACTGTTAAAAAAAGGTATTTTGTTGCTTAGATTTTCTTTGAAGACAGCATTAGAAACATTCAAGCGGGGAAGAGAATTGGTCTGCACACAGTGCTTGTAAGAGACTATGAACTGATAGTTATATATATATTATTTTTTATGATGTCAAAAAAATTAAAAGGTTATATTTATGAAATTAAAATGTTCTTTTAATTCAGGTCGGAAGTTCACAGAGAGTGAAGGGTGCGGATCATGCTTTGGTGAGCATACACAACATAAAGGAAGCGTTGCCTGAGCTTTGGAAAGAAGGGGAGAAACCTGCAGATGTTCTTTATTCTGGAAATGTTTCAATTCAGACCTCAGTGACTGCTTAATTATGATTTTATCTTTTGTATGTTACAAATTAAATTATTACATATATGTTGAGGAAGAAGATGTACTTGTCGTTTTCTAAATAATTAGCATTTGCATGATTATAGCTAGAATATGTGAAATAAATCTCAACCTCTTGTTCTAGATTTTATGCATCTCATATTTACAGTGAGTGATTTTTTTTTTCCACCTATTTAAGTGTTGGAAATTGCATTAATTATTAAGCAGAGAAAGTAGGAGAATAGACTAGGTTAGGGCCAAAGACCGCCAAGTCTTTTAAAATAAGCGGGAGGAGCTGAAAGCAAATTATATAGAATCAAAGGGAGCAGGTAAGGAAGAAGGAACAAAAAGGCTTTGAAATGGAATGGAATAGGCATAACAAATTACTAGATTTGTGAGTTCTTTAGAACTTGAATCGGATCTTGCTCGAACTTAGAATCAAGCTGAGTTGAGTCGTTGCTCGAGATGGAATTGAATTGATTGAACGAGAGATTATGGTCATGAAAAGATGCTAGAGTTTGTCCGGACTACAGATGTAATATTTTTCTCCATTGGGCGAAGATGTTGTCAGGCTTGGTGGCCTGTGAAGGAACACTATTCGCGACGTGGGCATGGGATATCAAGGAGAAGGAAAGGAGGGGTTAGTGACCCGGTTGATGTTAAATAACATCAAACTAGATCTAATTCTCGGTTAAATTTAGGGTTTCAAACAATTCAACTTGCAGGTTTCAATTTGAGCATGATTAGATCCATTCCAAACTATTTGAATTCAAAAAGAAATTCAAGAATACAATATTAATTTTGTCACTTAGCAAAATAAACAACTTCTAAGTTTTCTTAATTTTCACTATCATGAGGCATATAAATTAAAAATTGCCAATACCTATCATAAGTTCTTATATATCTCAAATTATTGAAGAAATTCAAGAATACAATATTAATTTTGTCACTTGGCAAAATAAACAACTTCGAAGTTTTCTTAATTTTCACTATCATGAAGCATATAAATTAAAAATTGCCAATACCTATCACAAGTTCTTATATATCTCAAATTATGTATTTAAATTGTGCTTTTTAGTTCAAATTATAAATATTAGTATTGATGATCTAGATACCTGTTATTTTAAAGATGGTTAATAAAATAATAGATTTATTTGTTTCTGAATGCAATTATTTTAAATAATGAATGTATTTATTGAATATTTGAATAGAGTCTCTACATATTAGTTTTTTTTTAAATTCAATTTCTGATCACATTTACATTTTGATAACCAGATTAATTATTTTGATAACCACAAATAAAAAAATAATAAGCAAATTAATAAATATTAATATTTATTTTTTTTATTTGAACTGATAAATTTTATAATCATTGAATCAGAAGTAAATTATTATCAATCATAGAAGTATAGAATAATGTTTCTTTTTTTTTTCTTTCTTCAAAAAACAAGACATGTTTGTTTAATAAATAAAAGACAAACTCTCACTTTCTCTCCCTCCTTTTTTCTTCTTATTAAAAACAAAAAAATTAGTTATTTTATTGAACTGTCTTCTTTCAAGGTATTGTAATGTTTCATAGAGACTATGATTGATTTCAAATATTTAGGTTTTAAAGATATTTTAAATGCAATGTTTTTAAATATAATATATTTGAAATTCATGCGATTTTTTTTGTGGTTAATTATAATTAATAAAAATAAAAATAGAAATGTAACTAATTTATGTCACAAAGAGGAGAAAATATTGCATCTGGAGTCTGGGCATAAGCTACGTCAAGACAACGGACGTGAAGCACGGGGAGGGACAGTTTTATCATTATTATTATTGCTCCGCTTCCTCGGTGCATCCCGTCCGATTGAAAGAGAGAACAGGGAGCTGAAATTAAATACAACAATATTCCAAATTCAATTCTTAAATAAAATAGTTATTCATTTATTTATATATCAGCCAAATATTTGTCTTCTTAGAAGCCCTAAAATTAACTAACTCTCCACCCAAAATTTCATTCAAAAAAAAGTAAGATTTACATGCATGCCACACAATTCCTACGTATTTACATATCAAATATCTAAGCTTGGATTATCATATTAATATCACTTTATTTATACATGAAAAGATGTATTTTTTTTTTCTTTGAAGTTAATAACAGTAATATTTGGGATGTGATATGAAAAATTTGAGTGCTATAAATATAAATATTAAATTTTAGACGTTAGATATGTAAATATATAAGAATAGTGTAGTGTGTAAGAAAATATGTTATTACAGTGATATTTTGATCACTTTTCTCATCTCTAATATATATATATATATATATATATATATATATATATATATATACATGATGAAAGTTCAATTTCATAACCTCAAAGTTCTTTTAAATTGCAACATGAATATTAAACATTTACTTGAAAAAGTTATTTATACTCAGCTATCAGTATTGTTACTGTGAGTCGTCACGTTCTAATAAATATCATCATTATTTATTAGGGTTTTTTTTTTCTTCTTATATTGGGGCATATACATAAATACCACTCAATTCTTATTTATTTACACATCTAACACACCAAAAAAATGATTTTTTATATACGTACCACTCAAATCTTTAACATCACATCAAAGATACCACCTGACTTCCTCTTTACAAGTGAAATACAGCTATTGATGCAAGGATTCATGTCACCAATACCAAATTTTGGATGTTAGATATGTAAATACGTAAGAATTGTGTGATATATAGACAAAATTATGCTAAATGGTAAATTCCAATAAAAAATATCATTAAAATTTGTTATTTGTGTCTAAAGTTATCTTTAAGGTTTCTTCACAACAAGCTACTTTTATCACTAATAATATTCTTATAACTCAGGAACTTTTGCATGATTTGGACATTAAATGTAGAGGTGGTAATGGCATTTTAAACCTTGATTAGCAAAAAGCTTATGATACCATTAGCTGGAAATTTATCCTTGCTATTATAAGGGCTAAAAGTTTTAAGGATGATTTTTGCAAACTTATAGATATGCTCTTGGATAACAATTTTTACTCTATACTAATTAATGGTGAGCAACATGGGCACTTCAAATCTGGTAATGGTCTCAAATAGAGGGATCCACTAGCTCCTACCCTTTACATTTTGGTTATGAATTATCCTCCTCACTCTTTAACCATCACTTCATTAATTATCCTCGGACTAGACAAAAAGCTAGATGTAGTGAAATTATATCTCACTTGGTTTATGCTGATGATATAATCATCTTCTATAATTTGGGTAGACCGTATGTTAGACATCCTTCTAATATCCTTACTCCTTTTGAGCAAGTATTGGGCATGAACTTCAATAGATCTAAATGTGATTTGTACTTTAGTAAACACATCATTGTTGAGAGAAAACATTGGACCACTACAGGAAAAAAATGCTAAAATTGACGGCAAAAGCCTACTACCTACCTTTGTGTTGCAAAAAAATGTTCCATTTTTGGACAGTGTAGTAACGGTTTATGATTTGAGTTATTTATGATGGCTTAACAACATGATATGTAGTCGTTCATAAACAATAAATCTTTTCTAACAGTTTTAATCATTATTGACGGGTTATGCCGTTGGTTAAACCAAAATATTAACTGACGGTCATATTGAGTTGGTTATTCATGAACCCGTCATTTGGTGGGGTGCTAACCGACACATTTTTATAATAAGTAACAGTTTTATCTGTCGTTAATAATGTAAATTACCAATGGTCTAGCGACAGCTTTTGTTTGAGTTATTTGTGATGGCATAGCTACAAAAATTCTATCACTTATTAACAGTAATATTTTTTTCATGCAGTTTTTATTATTACTTACGCAATAAGTCGTCAGTTAAAAACGCATATTAATCGTCATCCATTAGTCGTCGGCTATCTTTGAACGTCATCTGGCTGGGTATTAACCAATGCATTTTTATAATAAGCAACTGAAGTTGCTATCGGTAATAGTATTAAAAACCGATGGATTTAAAGCTGTGTATAAGTCATCGGAAATAGTCCATTATACCGCCAAAATTGCGGACTCCCCTCTTGCCCTAATCTAATCTCCCCTCGCTCCTTTTTACCCGAAGACCTGTCCTCTCCGAGCCCTAGTCCTCTCCTTGAAACCCTCACATGTTCCTTCACCCTCTCTGTCTTGTCCAAAACCATCAACTAAGTTGTCGGAACCTCGCAATACAATCCTTAGAAGCTAGCTAGGAACACAACGACGGGATCACAACTTATAGTGACAAAAAACTCCAACTTTTCTCTGCTTCTGCTCCTCTCCTACCCGAAACTATCAAGGAAGGTAACTCCTCTTCATTTATTTTTTTTATTTTCAAATATTTTTTTAAATATGGGTTTAGGGTTTAGGGTTTAGCAACTAGGACCAAATATTTTTTTCTATTTTTGTAGGATTACATTAGGAATCTGCTTTAAGCCCATATAATTTTGCTTTAGTTTTGGATGTTCTTATTAGACATTTACAAGAGGATTTACCTTGGTGTATACTTTTCAACTACAATATCCTTCTTGTGGATAAGAGATAGGAAAAGTGATGCATTTATGCGTGCCACGATCAAACTATTGTGAATTTCATACAAATGAAAAATATGAGTTGGGGTTTTACCATGACCTTTGATCTTTGAGTGAGAATTTGAAAAATGGATGAAAGAGAATGCTTGATTGTAAATAGCAATGTTTTGGGTACTCTGTATGTAATCGTCTCAAAACTTAAATTATGGAGGTCAACATTTGAGGTGAAAGTCTTCAAGTTTTCATTTGAGTAGATCTAGAACTGAATACATGAAATGTATTTTTTGTAGTAGAACTCTAGTGACAGAATTGTAACTACACGTGATCAAATCATTAAAAGGTGTGAACGTCTTAGATACCTCAGGTCTCTCGTTCAACTTTAGGTGATATAGATGGGAATGTGATTACTTGATTTCAAGTTGGTTGGTTGAAGTGGAGGAATGCATCTGACCTATTGTATGATAGGAAATACTGCTTACATTTGAAGGAAAATTTTATAAGATAGAGGTGAGACTTGCAA